AGGCGTTTTAGACATGGTAACATAGCCCCCAACAAACGCAAATAGACAAATGAACAAAAACATGTACGTTTGAGATCTTTGTAGTTTGTGACTTACTAATAACTACATCCATTTTTTTCTCTCAACTCTTTTGGCCAACTGACTTCCCAGTGTTTTCTCCCTTCTCTCTTCTTTAAACAAATTATCTATTGAGTTACGGTGATAATTGTTTTTTATTTTTATCATGAGTTAAGTTATATATGATGGACAAATATGGAAGGAGCTTCTTGAGGGAATTCTCAAATAAGGTTATTTCAGGGACATCCACTCCCCTTGTATTTTAGTGATCCAGCTCACCTTGTTTTATGTCTTCACTCAAGATTGTACTTGCAAAAATTACTCAAATCTGAAACCCTTAACCACTGAATTAAGTGGTGTCAATTTAGTGGTCTATTTTCTTGGCTACAACTAGATGTCTTAGTGGTAGCGGTTTTGTCTAATGTTTTGCAAGGATGACCTTTGAATGAAGAACTAAAACATAAGATGGTTCAAATCATCGAAATAAATTCCAGAGTGCGCTGCACAAGGTTCCACTCAGATAAGGTTACGTTTGGGATCCCTCAGATAAGGTTAAAATAAATTTTTAGGATTTACATAGTATAATTGATACCTTTGGAATTCGCAAAGGATTCTTGGCAACATATTCGCACAACTTTCCAATTTTCCGATCATTTGGTCCCTCTTCCTGTCAAAGGGAAAAGAATAAGTCCTGAAACTTGATAATGCAACATTCGCTAAGAAAGTGATTGCATTGATGTTAAAATTTCATAATCAACTTTAAGTTAACTAAACCAAATTTTAAATTTTTTTGCATGAGTATTGAGTATATGATGCTTAATTAATAGAACAATATTTCACAGAAAAGCCAGAATAGGGATACTTCATACTTTTAAGGGATGGAAAGAAACTAAATTTGATGGTGTCTAACCGGGATTTCCATCAAAGAACATGTGTTCTGACCAGAAAAACCCTAAAGGGAGTCACACAAACATACATTATTACATACTGTCCTGACAGGATTCTCCCTTGGGTGAGTAGAATAAAAAAAAAAAAAAAAAAAAAAAAAAAAAAAAGGTTTAATCAACTAGTATTTATCAACCAGAGAAAGAAGTAAATTCTTCTTAAGTGAGTCTGAAAGGCAAGAAGTACGGGAAGGGCTTTGAATTGTCAGGAAATAAAACATACAAATTCATCTACAAGGCATTGGTTGCATCAAGAAAAGGCAACCTACAATTTCTTTCTTGTATACCCAACTGAACCTCATTGTATAAGAATTGAATTCTCAAGAAAAATAAAAACCATGATGTAAATAAGAAGATAAAAACATTACACTGCCAACACATCATACATAAGGCCTACAGTTAATAACGACATGGTACACAACGATTACAATGCTCTGTTTTTAATTAGAGCCATAAACAACTTACTACACCGATAAGCAGTTCTTTCTAGGCCTCATTTCATCCTCGAATGGCAGACAACAATATGAGAAACTGGGCTTTCAATTGGCTACCATAGTCATAATCAGTTTCAACATTTGTTTACATGAGTGCTCTAAAGTTACGAAATACTCATTTTACTAGACAAAGATGCATATTACATAACTCTTAGCCTCATAAGGCATCCAACACTAGCAGATACTTAGTTTTTCGATTAGTTTTCAAAGCCATAATAAACTCAATATTTGTCGACATACAAAAACATATTAAATATATATGTAGGCTTATGAATACAAAATGGATGGGCAAGTAACTGTCAAATAATTCAAGTACTGGTTAGATGTTACCATGTTAAAATTTATGGTTTGGAGGAGTGATTGTATAAAGATTCAAGAACTTGGATGTCAAAACTCAGACAATTCAAACGATTCTTCAAACTCAATCTACTCAATCAGACTATGAAATGGATGGTAGCAAGTTAAAGAATTATCCTCTCAATTTCAGTTCACTTAGGAAATTCATTACTTTGATAGCCATGTCAAATGGTTGCATTTTCACAGCAGAATTCCATCATCCAGCAATGGACTACATATCTACCATTACATCAACACTTTTCCAAACCCACAAAATGCACATAGAGATGGCATATATTATCATCCACACAAGTCTCTTTACAAACGGTAAAACTATCTTAGGAAACAAGTAACGAATCGAATGCAAGCAACAAAAACCCATGTAGATAAAATACGAGAGCAGAATGAACCTGGTTACGAGGGAAAATGTCAGCAATGAGCTTCTTGTACCTCTTAACCGGCTGTCTAGACCTGGCTCGCAATGCCGGGCAGAAGAAGCAAAGGGTGCCACAGGCAGGCAACACTTGGCGCGAAATCACCCCCGAAACAGCGCTCATTGTCGAATACAAGATACATACAACTTTACACAAACAGGAAAAATGGGCTCCTCAGAACTTGGCCTTTCTTTCCCTTCCAAATCTATGAGAGGAAAACCTCACAATTTGGGTGTAGAGAAGGGAAAGAAAGGCTCGAAGCTGAGATGAGTACCTCTAAAATCGAACAAACCAGCCTGTGAGCAATTAACAAAATCTCAAAAATCCAATCAAAGCCTCAAAATTCAAGAACAATTCAATTCCCAATACAATTTTCCAATGTGGGTTTTCAAATTCAAGCAAAAGGGTATTCCAAAATCGCAAATACACATCGAAATTCGATCGCTTTGTATGGAATCGTGGCGATGAACGCCTTCAAAGAGCAGGAGGAGACCTGAGGCTGGAAAATCTACCTTATGCCATGCAGAAAATGTACCGGAATTCCAGCATATTCCACCGCGATTTCTTACGTGTCCTTCCCTTTTTCTGTTTTTGAATTTTTGAATTTATACTCCAAATAATATCCGTCCAGCCTGCACCTGCAGTTCTGGGACAATAACGTTTTAACGGCTCAATTTGTGGGTCCTAGGGATTTGGTAGATCTTTGGGGTCCATGCTGACGTGGATGCATTAGATTAAGATTCTGTGATCATAGATGTGCTCTCTGCTCTCTCGACGGTTAAATTTTTGAAAGCTTTAACGGATAAGTTTTTCGGTATTGTTTAGTTTAAAGAAAAATTATATTTTTATATTAAAATATTAATTTTGGTATTAATCACTTTATTTTTTATTTTATCTTTATCGTTAAAACTCAAAGTTTTCAAAACTCTTTCATTAGGTTTCCTAAAATTTTTTCATTTTTTGTTAACCGAAATTTTGACAGTCAATTTACCTAATTTCTTCCCTTTTTTTTTTTGTGTAAAAGGCTTACTTCGATAGAGGAAGGAAAAAACGGCTGGGGTACTATGATTTTGCATTTCTTGGGTAGAATATCGATCGAATCAAAAGGATGTCATATATTCATGTATTTTTAATATGATCTCTATCATGGAGTTTAGTTCCATGAATTTTGTTTTAGGCTATCTCTTATGAGCCGGAAAATTTAGAATAAAAAATCATATTTGACTCTAAATTTGTTATATCGCTCTTCAGTCCTTGAAAAAAAATTGATATTATATATGACTTTAGAGTCAAGTATGAAGTCATACTTGATTTAAGTTTAACTTTAGAGTTAAAAGGGGTTCTTCATTGAATTACACATAAAAGTAATTTTTATTTCAAAATTCTTAATTAAAAGGGAGTTCCTCATTCAAAGTATCTTGAAGGTGTATAAGATACTCATGAAAGAAACTGATCTGTCAAACTCACACAATATAGTAGGAAATGGACACCTTGTACTTATTCCTTTAATTCTCTAATCGTAAAATTTATTTTTTACTTCAACGTACTTTAAATTTTAGCTATTATTTAATTCAATTATAATCATCAAAATGATACCTTTTTTTAAAGAAAGAAACGATAGCGATTTTATCAAAAAGATTATGGAAGTTTGCAATTAATGCTCTTGAAGATCATCCTAAACTAATCCTCAAACCAACAAGAATCAAATTCAAAGTACGGGCTAACTTAGCTAATATGCAAGTCATCATGACTTGAAAACACAAAGTAAAATCACATGCATAAATAAATAGGATAGGATCAAAGGACAACAATATTGACAAACATTTTTTTCACTTCTTTTTAAATTTTAGATTTTATAACATATTTCTTTAGGTATTTGACCGTTTAATATTTGACTTAGTGACTTAAAAACACAAAGTAATACAAAAAAATGAAAAGGCCAACTACAACGATAACAAATAGATGAGGTTGGATGAGGAAGTTAGAGAAGAGAAAGTACAATTACGAGGTTGATTATTCAGCTTCTTTCCGAACGGAAGCACTCAAACGCCCGTTCCCTTTCACGTCTTTAACCGCCCGACACGCACTCAACAATAATCAGCGGGTCATGGCGCTTCACTTGGCTTGAAGATAAAAAGAAATTATTCAACCGGTCTGTCTAGTAGTATTTATGCTCATTTTAAAGTGAAGAGTCTTAAGTTTAACTTTTGTGTATAACGAGTTTGTTACTAAATTATTAAAGTTGGTCCAACATGCTGACTTAAAAAAAAAAAAAAAAAAGAGGAAAAAAATTGATGTTCTATAAGCATGGTTTAGAAATTCATTTTAAGTACGGTTCAAATCATGAAACTATACCGCAAAATAAGTCTTACAAAAATCTTAACTTAATGTTCTCATTAATTAGCCTTTGTCTGATTGTCATTGTCTTTTATTTGTTTAGAGATTGTCTCAAATTTGACTCACATGAATACGAGGATATTTTGTTATGTTAACACCTTATTTTGGCTAGCCCATTTTGGTAGCGTAATTTTGATAGGAATGAGTGATGCCGTTGTAACAGTAGCTTACTAAGTATACTATCATTTGTCAAAATAAAATATGAGAAATTATTTTTGCACGCTCTATTTTTCCTTCTGCAAACCCAAATTTATTTATGTCATTTCATCCTCTTTTGGTTTCTCAATACAAAAGCCAAAAGCAACATGGGTGTGGTGTGTTGAGAAAAATAATGCGTAGAAATCACTATCCCGAAAACATAATTGAACAATTTTGTATACAATTTTACAGCTTAAAACACAAGTAGGTCGACTGAATGCTTAAGAGATATATACACTTGCGATTTGTCAATGTGAACCGTGAAATGTATACCCAAAAGAAAATATAAGTAACAAATACTTTCTCCAAAAACGATACCTATGCTCTTGAAGTACCGCCGTGATCTCTCTCAACGTGCTCTACAAGTGCTACTGGATCACGAAATCCTTTACTACATTTAGGGCAGGCATCAATTGTCACCTTCTTCACCGCAGCAGCTCGGTTGCCACCCTTCTCATGGACTTTTTCTACGTGGTCTACTAGAGTGGTGACTGAGGAAAACTTAGCACCACACTGAGGACACACCTCACCCTGCCCGTTTCTACTCCCGCTGCTGCTGCTACTCTGCCCTGTTCCATCCTTTGCTATCTGCCACTTTTGGCTAAGTTCGCTACTCAGTTTTGCCACACTTGCTTCAGCTGAGGCTCGAAAAGATGAAGCTGCAGTAAGAAAGCTACTCCAATTCGGGGAGGATGCAGCAGGAGCATGATTCGGTTTTGACACTTCTTTCCTACTCCTACTTAAATAACCCAAAAAGGGAAATCCTGCTTCTGGTTTCCTGGGTCCAGGACACTTGTGATCAAGTCCAAATCGGTGCCTCAAACAGTGGTCTACCGTGCAATCCCTGCACTTGATTGTGTTGGAGAATGTTAAGATCTCCTTGCAGCCAGGGACAGGGCATTTTTTCTTCTTTGTGGCTTTCTCATAATTAGAAGGGTCGCAATCAGTGTTAACATGTCTCTCCCAAGTAATGTTTGGATCTTCATCGGGAATCAGATGAACTCCTTTGGCACAGAGGGGACAGATGACAACAGTGACATTTTTTCGGTCACCTTTCGGACAATTATGCTTAATGTAGCTTCTATGCTCCAAACAAAATACCTGCATAATGTCAGCTTGTGTGAGTACGAAGAATTGAATATTCTTGAGAAGCAGAAATAAGGCAGTTGAATGATAATCCACAATTAGGAAGATGGAAGATGGTAAAAAGATTGAAGACTATGCTATTGTATTAACCTAAGTAAATAAGACTTTTCTGACCTAAAAATATTGAAGTAAATAAGACTTTAGGAATCAAATGGAAAACATTCCAACCCCTAACTATCTTTGGTTAAATTTGGTCAAAAACTGCAAGATCTACGTGATGCATCACACCACCATTCCGGAAGAACGAGGGTGCAAAACATTTCACTTCCCTTTTACCATCAGTTTGTTAATTTCAAACACTTTCCACCGTCCTTCTTTTCTCCGAAACATACCACTTCTTAGAGTAATCTAAGAACATGAAGCTACAACATTCAATTTATTCCCAGCAAACAACTTTAGCACCTCGATATTTAACATCACATAAGTAAATATTCGGTAATGTACTTGGAATTCAGTTAAATCCAAACGTTGCACCATGCACGTCAATCTAACGTGAATCCGAAACAAACATTTATAGCAAAAGAAAAATACAGAGCAGGAATGAAATATCACCCTATAAAGATAAACAGTTTCAACTCAAGCAAACGCCAAGATCAGAAATTTATTGTAAGCTTCCAGACAACGTTGACAGAAAATTGTCAACCATTCAAATTTCGATAAGATAAATTTATTCCGGAATTTCATCCTTTCCTTTTCCAAGAAATACAAATTCATAATCCAATCCAATGTGCATTCACACCCATTGCGTTTTCTCAAGCAATCTGCCCCCTTCCACCACGCCCCCCCCCCCCCCCCGCGCCCGCGAATCACCAAAATTTGAAAATTTCCCTTCTTTTTGTCTGGGTAATTCTACTTTTCTCAGCAACCAAACAGAGGATAATCCCGATCCAAATAACTGGAATGCCTATTTCGAAACACAATGCACATTCAATATTTATATAATATGGACGTATATAATTTCACAAATGTGTGCATATAGAGAGAGAGAGAGAACCTGATGGCAGCTATCGCAGGTGAAGGGCAAGAAATCGATCTGCTGGCACTCGGCGACGTAGCAATGCCTACCCAGATCTGGAAATTCCGGAGTTCCCATTCAAATTTTGTATGTACAACACTAGAAGCTCCCCGCCAATAAACGAAACGTGCTGGAAATGTAGAATCGACGGGATTATGTAGTTCCGGGATTTGTTGAGAGACGCCGGAATCGGATTGTCCGAAGGTTTGGATGGGATTTTGGCTTCCGCGGATACAGAGAGAGACACCGAATCCGCGGAATCCCAAGTCCACGCCCGAGTTTTCTCCGAAGAGAAAAAAAGATGGTCGTGCAAATTGCCCCCCGGGAAATTTACTGGGAAACCAAAAGGACGAACAAAAACGGAAAAATGACCAAAAAAAAAAAAAAAAAAAAGAAGAAGAAGGAATTGGAGATTTGGGCTGGAATAAATGACAAAGCCAGTGTGTTTGGGCCCATGGGCTTTTAGCAAAACTAAATATGCGGACTCCCTTTATTGATGTGAAGGAGATATTTTCAGTGTACTCCACGTGATTTTGTATACATAGTATATAATAAAGAGAAGAGATACTAAAAATATATTTTTAGTTATATTATAACATATAATGTATTGGACAGTACATAAAAAAGTCTCAATGCAAAATCGTTTTGAATAAAATATGAGTTACATATTCTAGAAAGTACTCATGTGCAACAGTTAGCTCTAAAATATAGAATTATATAATTTTATTGATAGCTACACACACACAAGTGTATGCCTTGGAGGTCGTAACATAGTTACAATAAGGAAACTAATTAATCAAAGCATAATCTAAGAAGCTCTAAATTAATCCCTGGGTGATACTCCACCAACAGGTTTAGTCTACGTATGTATCAAATAAATGGATCCATGCATTATGATAATGCATGTTAATTATTATACTAGTACCGTCGAACTTTTGATACATATAATGTAAGGCAGGACAATAACAACACATATTAAGCCAGCTCAACACAGCCAGTACACTATAAGTGCTTGTGTTCATAGACATTGGCAAGTCTCATATTGCCCTTCTAATTTAGGACAAAGCGGGCAAACAACTCCTATGCTAGTCACATTAACATTGTTGCACAGAGCTTTAGCTGTTTTCCTTCCTTCGTGTTGGAGGTTAATATCTTGCAATATAATCCCCAGACAAGGGAAGCTCTTGCTGCAATCGAATTTTATAGCAATATCTGAAGCACTTGTTCCTTTGATGTTTTTGTACACCACATTTTTTACTTCAACCGCTGATCTCTGTGATTAATATTATTGAACCAATAGATACGTCATTTTCGATCAAGAAATTAAGCGATAGAAGTTGGTTTGGCCTCGCGGTATTTCTATGAATTACCTGTTCTTTGCACGGTTTCTTTCTGTCACAGTAATATTGGTCTATAAGTATGGGGTTGGTAACATTGTGCATTTCAATGTTTTGAAATCTGATTTTGCTTGCACTTCCTGACCCTCCCTGCATATATATATCACTTTGCTGGTTTTTTATGTACTTTGTACTCAAAGCTCAACAAGTACATCTAATTAATTGAAGTATTTTGAAACTCTACCTGCCACGTTTTGATCCGAACTCCATTTGTAGTTCCATAAAGTTTTGCTCCATTCACTGTAATATCCGAAACATATGCTGTTGAGTTTCCAGATCCCAAGCTTCCAATACTGAGGTTATTGTGAAAACCCTTTTGTCAGTCAGACCGACATATTACGTTTTCAAACTATCAATCGAGAATCCGTTAAAATAAATCCCAATAATAAATATTACAAAATTCAACCTGATACCATGGCCTGGTCCGCAGGTTATGTTCGAAGCTTGCACCAATTTGGATCCATTTACAATAGAAAGACAATCATCACCTAATTAATTAAACACAGCTAAATTATACATCATGAGTTCATATTATAGGACACTTGGATGTTTCTGTTAAGTACCTGTGGCTGTGACACAGCTTGTGATCAATATGTTTTGAGTGTCTGTAACATGAATTCCGTCGGTGTTGGGGCTTTTTTCTGGTGCAGTTATTGAGAGATTGGAAACTTCAACGTTCATGCATTTCTGGAAAGACACATGAATTTGTTGTGCATCTTGAATTTTCAGGTTCCTCACCATCAAATTCTTGCACTTATAGAAGGTGAGTGCCTGCAGCCAAAATACACGAGTAAAACTCATTCAGAAACATAGAAAAGAAAAATTGCTATCAAATACATGTAGAAAACCCATGCAAATACCCCCTTTTTTTGGCCTAAAAGCGGCTCCAATTCTATCTTAGGAAGTAATTTTTACATGCTTTTTTAACTTTTTGCTTTTTGTGACCTTTAAATTGAGCAAATTAAAAGAGAATCAAGTATCAGAATTAGGAAGAGACGTGTAAAAAGTGAAAAAGAGTGGGCAGAAATTACTCCCTCTATCTTATTTTAGAAAAAATAATTATGATTACTTTAATTTGAACTATATTTTACTGTACAATTTGTATTATATATACTACAAAGTGTTAACGTTCTATACAATACTGCTATTGGACCACTTTGATGCTCAGTTCTAATACAGATAGGTCCATGTAGAGAGGTGATTCATAATGTGCTGAATGAATGTGGTATGATAATTGAAACCTTGAATATCTTCTTTCCCACAACAGAAATCCCTTTTAAAAGAAACTGCAAAAACAAACAAAAAATGGCTGCAACTTTCTTCCCGCTAATTTTTGTGTTTACTACACTTGCAAATAAATTTCCATTCAGAATCACTTATATATAATTCTTGTAGTTAGTGAGGGAGTTAGGATTTCATGTGAGGGGGCCTCTCACATATATAGGTAATTTGAACTCAAAACATGAGAGATTGGAGTAATTTGCATGACCCTAAATTCAATAAAGAGAACTAAGAACATTGTATATGCCCAGAAACCCGAATATGAGGTAAAGAGTAAACAAGAATTTTTTGAAATATAAGTCAAAGCTAAAGAAAAGTTGATAGAATAAGGAGGGGAAGTGAAGAGTAGTGCACCACAATAAGAAAGTGGAGACGAAAGTGAGGATTGGATTGGAACGGAAAAGAGTTTATATAAACAACACACTTGAATTTTAAGGGTATTAGACTAATATGCAGCAATCTATTAGAATAGCAAGAAAAAAAGGCAGGATGGGTCAGAAACCATTCTAGTCCATTCGTGGCTCTGCCATGCTTACAGTTCTATGAATGTTTGTTTTTTAGTTAATATCTGATAATTGAAAAGAATTTCATCATATGTGTGTCCTTTTCCTTGTTTATTGAAGGGAATCCTAACTCAAGTTAGCCATTACAAAATACTTTTTAGCACTAATAACCATAAAAATTTCTTGCAAATATACTCCCAAACGTGTCTTCAAAAGAGAACATCTAGGTTTAAGTCTAAGCAAATGACCCAAATTAACAATAATACATGATATTTAAAAGTTGCATTTTTTGCTTTAATTAGGCAATATTGTTGATCAAGACTGAAGACCGCATGTAACAAATTAATTTACTATTTTATTAGCATATATATATATATATATGTGCGTGTGTGTGTGTGTTTTTTTTATTTTTTATTTATTTTTATAAACGATAATAGTAAGGGTTAAATTGTTAGTTGTTAGGGAAAGGGAGGTTGGTGGGGATCAAACCCGCACCAGAGTGTATAAGTATGATTGTTTTCCACCACTGTGGTAAAACGTCATTTGCTGTATGTGTATATCAAGGACATGAAGTTATATACCGTTGGTGCGTCCTTGCAGGGCTGCAAATCAATATTGAAACACATATAGTCAGCAATTAATTAACGAAGTACAAGTATCTAATTATAAACAGAATTAGGATATATATGATTTTGTTGTGTTGGTAATTAATAAAATACCTTAGATTGATCGGTTTTGCATGAATTTTGCCACCAATTTTTCCCATTGCCATTGATGGCTCCACCACCTTCAACCACCAAATTGGAAACATTGTCAAAGATAAGCCAGTGTCTACCATCTTTGCTGAAGTCAGATCGATCATCAGAAGCTATTAACGTTCCGAGAATCTGAAAGTTATCCAAATTTTAAATTGTTCAAATAAACCTAAACATAAATCTTAAGCTTCGAACGCTAGTCTACAACGTACAGTACATAATTTATATAACTCACCTGCACTGTAAGTTGAGATTTGCAAGGACCTGAAAATCGGATTGGTTTAATACGATACGTCTTCTTAGGCACCACCAGAACAGCTTCCTTAGATGAACAAGCTACCTTCCAAGCCTTCTCAAAAGCCTGGAAGAGCTCATATGTAAAGATTGACCAATTATTAGAGAAATTGTACGGTATGAAGAAAAGTTATAATCTAAACTACATATTAATAGAACCCTCATTATTGCCACTTAGTACTAAGGTTTAATGGTATTCCTCTTCACTTGTGAGTGAGAGTGAGGGGTCTTAGGTTTGATTCTCGCCAAAGGTGAATTTGAACCACATTATTGCTAGCCAATTGTGAAACTAAGTCCCCCCCCCTCCCCCTTAGTGTAAATAATATTGTTTGTTAAAAAAAAAAAAAAAAAAACTTTACTGACAACCAAAACCTTATGAAATTACCATTTTAACCCTCTAATTAAAACTGAATATGAAAAAAAAATATGGGCAGACTATAATTTCACACAACCAAAATTTTTTTTTTTTCAAAACCCCACCTATATATGATTCTAATATATCTCTAATTAAAAAATAAAAAATAAAAAATAAAGCTCTCTCCCCACTCCTACATTCTCTCTTCCTCTCTCCATCCATTAAAAAAAAAAAAAATCAGATTAATAAGAGATGTCGTAGAATAACCTATCATGGTTATTCACCTTTGGCTCCTTAATTACTCACGTTTAACGTTGTTATAACATGACGTTAATGGAGTCTTAAATGTAAGAATATATTTTTTTGGAACAAAGAATTACAAGAAAGGTAAGGCTGGTGAAAGTTATATTTGCAGTCTAATGTTACATAGTAATGGTAATTTTATAGTTAATAGCACGTAATGGAATTGTTATCACTGTAAGAAGTTTGATGTTTAGGTTGTGAACGTCCTATTGCATTGCAAGGCAGGTTGTTATGTGCTTACGTGATTACATTGCAAGGCAGGTTGTTATAGACTAACCCTATTATTTGCTATCTTCTTGTTATTATTACTACTATAATTATTTTTATGTAATTAATTACCTTTGTGTCATCAGTTTCTCCATCACCCTCAGCTCCAAAATCATAAACACTGACCGTCTCAGCCGAAGATGAAGTGCTGCTATCCACTTTATCGAAGCTCCTTAAGCATAGGACATCTGCACTTTCCTTTATCAAGCCCTTGAACAAGTCACTGCCATCGTCGATCGTGTTGAGGTACGATGGATACGCTTTGGAATCAAATTCAGATGCTTCGTCAACATTCTTGTCGATGAGTTGCTTCTCATGTAAACTGCTATAACATAAAACAAAGGAGGGAAGGGTGATGATAATGAATAGGATGAGTTCATTCTTCTGAGGAGCCATCCTACGTTTTCTTCTATTATATAATATGAGCATGCAATATATTAGATGTCCATTATGAGATCCAATATTTATAGAGACAGACACAAACTGATAAGTTGCATGCGTCGCTTTTTGATAGCCCCTCAAGTTATTGATGCTAATTTGTCTTTGGCAGTACTAGGGAACGGGAACCATAGCTACTAGATGCACGTAAATCCATGTATGATATGTTTATGAGTAATGCTACCCTTATTATATTTTTTATACTGTATTTGCATTACTTTTTTAATGGAAGTAGGGTCTACTATTGATTAAAAAAAGAAGTATGACTTATTAACACATGCGACATCTATTTCTACTAGAAACATAATATAAATGTGGTATAAAAATTACGATAAGAGTAGCATTTTTATATATTTAATCAAATCTTTCTTTCTTTCTGTACAACAAACATGACACTTGCTATACGATGTAAATTAGAGGAGATTTTTTTAGGTAATATAAATTTATCAAGAAACGACCATGAACGTACATAGGACAAAAATGTCCCAGAAAATTAGCATGCACATGCTAAAATAAATGACATGATTCAAACTTAAGATCTCTCACTTACAAATCAAGAAAAATATCACTAAACTGCAGTACGAAATTACACTTATTGAACTTTGAAAGGGCATGCATGGTTGACATTTCTTATAGGAAAAGGATCCTTGCCGGTTCCTTTTCCTAAGGATCCTAGGGATTTTGTGATCGTAACCCTTCATTGTACATCGTGCGGTACTATTTATATTTAATTTTAAATTTTAAATTTTGAAATGATTTCTAATCGCATGATGTACGATGAACGGTTATGATCACGCAATCTTTAGAATTCCCATGAAAGTGATGATCCTTTTCCTTTCTTATATATGGTGTTAGAATTCATCTGCCTAATTAAGTATTTAGATGTATAGATGTCTTGCAGACTCAGCACAACAGGGAGCTTATCTGTCATTTACGACCCTCAAACATCCAAGAAAAAGAAGATGTAGTCATCTTGGCACCACAAACATTTTCAAATTAAGGTACCCCAAAAGATGTACATTACGCTAACACGTCGTGCTCTCAAGACATACGTACATCGACATTGCAACTACTGACTCGACCCGTGTACCCTTTCTAAACTTCATATTTATTTTTATTTTGAAAATTATTATTAGCATTTCATAAATATTTTTCTACATTCCTTTTAAATGTATTTTTCTTTCTAATTATGAAAAATTTGAAATGTAAAATGAAATTTTTAGAGTGCCAACAACAATTTTCATTTATTTTTTTTAATCATAAAACAGCCTTACGGCTATATTACCAGCATGCAATGGCGAGAGTAATTTCTATACGACGGCAGTAGGATGTGCATAGTAACTAGATAACACTTGAATAAACGGTGACAATCAATTTAAAATACGTCGCACTTCACTAGGAAAAATTGAAATCAATGTTCCATTTGCTTTTAGATTATACGATTTCCAGAGCAACTAAACTGTCCGCCAAACAATAAAACCTAGTTTTAATATTAAATAGTTTATACACTTTAATATTAAATGACTATTTAGGCACATAAAATGTTTTAGATAAAATTCAGTTTTATGAATTTATTCTCAAGTTCAACCTGAGATTTCAAGAATCTTTTTCTTCATACTCTCACTCTATATTGTAGAACAAAGGAAGCCTAAAGACACAAATACTCACACTGATAAAGAAAAGGGGGAAAAAAAGGAGCTTATTTTGATGAATGAAACATAAAATCGGCTGTTTGAAGGCTCCATATGAAGTATAACTTCTTTTTTTCTTTTCATGTTGTATCAATTTTAATGATGCAATACGATTAGTGAAACTCTAAACCAGAAGATAAATTTTCAGTATATAATAACTACCAAACCTATGAAGATATTTCATTGGACGTCTACCTAAAAGTATAGACATTTCACACAAACATGAAAATATTTCGTTTGGGATCTACTGACGTTTTAAAACAATTTCGGTATTGTTCAGACAGGAATTTCGTTGGAAAGGGTCCCTGGCTCAAGCACACAACTCCCCGAGGAGTTGGCACTTTGGTTGTTTGTCGGGCTCCTGCTTGTCGGGATACTGCAAGAGGAGGACACAATTAGTTCTGAAAGGTGCTTTTGTGGGGCCTTGGGTGTAGGCATTGAGGCTCACAATCAAAACTAATTAAGTGCAAAGGCGTGCCACTACCATCTATGTATGACAGATGTAGAACAAGTGTATTTAAGTCAATTACTTGCGCCCTAAGTTATTCTAACTTCTTGTTATTAAAGGATTGTCGTGGCTGAGTTAAGTCCACATTAAGTTCCTTTCTATACCTTGGGACCAAGAACTTTTAGTTCGTTATCTTGTATGCTTAAAGGGTGGAGGTCCAGATCTGGTTAAGTCACCAGTTTGGTTTCCATTTAGCCTTTTTAATGATGGTAAACCACTATGTAAGCCAGATCTGAGCACTGATGGGACTTTGGGTCGTCAAAAGACTAGAAATGACTTGAACATATACTGGGAAATGAATTATAACGCCAGATCTATTGATTTAAAGACAAAACAAAGAGAATCGGGCAAGATTTCACCTTGTCGGGCAAGGTTTAAACGTCTTACGGTCTTTTCTCCTTGTGGTTACAGGGGATCAAGTACTAAAACGGGGTGAAAGATGAACAAATTTACATGAGAGAATCGATACTACAACATTTGGGAAAGGTAGCAGAACTTTTGCACTAGACAAAGGATGTTTTTCTAAAGGTGCAAAGTCTGGACAAAGCATAGCTTTTTGGGTATTTGCTTGACTGAGAGGCAAGTTGTATATTTGTTTGTTTGATTGGTTGAGTGTCCTTGTTGCTGGGGCCTCTTCTCCCTTTTATAGACAAATTAGCCCGACTACCTGTAACTTTGTTCTTGCCCGAAAGAAACTAAAGGGTAGTGACTAATCAGTATTATACATTTTCTGCCATTCAGAAAGTGCTTTTGGGCTGAGAGTAGGTTGATTTCCTTCAGTTGTCACTTCCCTTATAAGCAACTAGCCTTTGCATTAATGGGGGAGTACCATTTGGTCCTGAGATGGACGATCTGAGCTTGGTGTTGGGCCTTGAGCAAGCCTCCCTTTTTTAATCTTTTTGGGCCCTTCTTCCTTTCAGCCCAAAGTTCAAATGTTAACCTAAACATGTACTACTGAAACACTCGATAAATCTTGTCAGAAAATTATGTGCTTTCAGTTGGAAGCTACTGACTTAGTACAGGGGAATGTGAGGGCAGTTTGGACAAGTTTATAAGTGAGTATATTATATAAGATAGTTCTTCGCATGAAAAGTAGGCATGGGGTGTAAACACGAGAAATTCCTGAAACAAGCGACAAGAATACGTGTACAAAATATATATTTTGTATTAATGATTTTGGGGTTACAATCTCTTTGTAATTTGGTCCTCTGATTCTATCTTCGAAGGGTGTACGTTTGTGGATGAATTGTTGATCCAAATGGCCGTCGGGGCTTGATCTAAGGATGAACAGTTGATGAATGATGAACACTTTCTTCAAGGGGCCGTCGGGGCTTGATCTTGAGTTGGTGGGAGTTCTTTAAGGGCCGTTGGGCTTGATCTTGAAGGTTGGTGGATGAGCGGATCTTCAAGGGCTTTTGGGCTTGATCTTGAAGGTTGGTTGGATGTGTGGATTTGTTGAGGTTGTTGATCCAAAGTGGCCGTTGGGGCTTGATCTTAGGATGAACGGATGATGAACGATGAACACTTTCCTCAAGGCCCGTCGGGGCTTGATCTTGAGTTGGTGGAAGTTCTTCAAGGGCCGTCGGGGCTTGATCTTAAAGGTTGATGGATGAGCGGATCTTCAAGGGCTTCTGGGCTTAATCTTGAAGGTTGATTGGATGTATGGATTTGTTGAGGTTGTTGATCCAAAGGGGCCGTTGGGGCTTGATCTTGGGATGAACGGATGATGAACGATGAACACTTTCTTCAAGGGCCGTCGGGGCTTGATCTTGAGTTGGTGGAAGTTCTTCAAGGGCCGTCGGGGCTTGATCTTGAAGGTGGATGATGAACGATGAACACTTTCTTCAAGGGGCCGTCGGGGCTTGATCTTGAGTTGGTGGAAGTTCTTCAAGGGCGTTGGGGCTTGATCTTGAAGGTTGATGGATGATGAACGATGAACGAAAAGTGCTTTCTTGATTCTTCGGGATTTGCTTGAGAGCTTTAGAGTTTCAAGGCTTCTTTCTTTCTTCCTTCCTTCCTCCAAAATGAATGTCTTGGCCTCCTATTTATAGAATTCCAAAACTTGATTTTTGGATTTAAATAATCAGATGAAATAAATCATTTCTGCCAGGTATTGACACATGTCCTATTTGATGACTTTTCCAATTTATTTCGATTTTTCGTTGAGTCACACGCTACATGTAAAATTTATGTGATATGTGAGCGTTGAAATTTTAATTTTTGGTCAACATTTATTTCACCGAAATTTTGATGTCTACAAATGCCCCCACTTCAAGGCGTGTCGTAGACATGTGCTTGTCACGTGTAGAAGATGCGTTTTGAAGTCCCTTAATGTAGATGTCAACCCAAGGGCCGTCGAGGCTTGATCTTTGAATTGGGCTGGAAATTTCTTCAAGGGCCATCGAGGCTTGATCTTGAGCTCGACTGGAAGATTTTCTGGTTTCCTCCAATCGTTGATTTTCCACAAGCTTACTCTTGAACTGAGCTGGAGGATTCTTTTGGTCTCCCCCTATCGTTGATTTTCCTTTGTGCTACTCTTGAACTGGGTAGCAGGATTCTTTTGGTCTTCCCCGAAGGTCTGAGCTTACTCCTTTTTTTCTGTTTCTTTGTTCAATCTCTCCAATTCGTATTGAAGAGGGTTAGAGGATAGCTCAGCATATGCAGTTGTCGCTTGTCTCCACATGCTTCAATGCATCATTTTCACTTGCCTTACTTGCTCCCCTTTGTAGAAGTGGTATTTCCTTATGCAGGTTTAGCATCTTCTCTTGTACTATTTGTTCTTGATGCAGGAGTTGAATGCAAACCTTGCATTTGAATGGACCATTACTTCTTGGTGGCAGCGCAAGTTTGAGTGGAGGTTCCGACATATTGCTTTCTCTGTCCTTGTCCTGGCAGGTGAGAACAAGGGCAAAGGAAAAGATAGGGCAAAAGCATGATATGAGATACCTTTGCTTTCGCCCTTGATGATATGAGATACTTTTGCCTTGGTGTCATTTGTTTGCAAGGGTATTCTCGGAGAGGAAGAAAACTGAGCATTTTGAGATGCTTTGCTGGGAGTGTACTCTCGGAGGTGAGGAAGAGTTGGGCATTTTTTTTTTCTTGTTTGCAGGTTTGCCTTGCCATAAAAGATGAAGGTCGACATATATAGGGATTTCCAAATAACAAGTGGTGGTACTGTTCTTTTACCCTTGTCGACAAACGTTTTGATCCCGCAAATCCGGCTTTTTGAAATAGTGATGACTCTTCGATCTTTGAATACGCCTCTTTGATTTCTGAACGACGCCTCTTCGATTTCTGAACGACGCCTCTTCGATTTCTGCACGAGCGTCTCTTTTGACAAAATGGCGCGCGTTTTCTGAAAAGCAGAGAAAGCGTCGCCGAACTTTGCGCTTGTCAGCTAAAGACGTGTAGCTGCGATGATGACCTCCACGTGATCTTTTGACAAAGTGGCACCCGTGCTTTGAAAAGCCGCGAAAGCGTCGCCAGTCTCCACGTGTTTTCAACTTTGTCGGAGATCTTTTGACAAAGTTGAACGCGTTTTCTGGAAAGCCGAGAAAGCGTCGCCTAACTTACGCCGGAAAATCCAGCTTTTGAGATTTGCAGAGCGATGTCTCTTCACTTTTGAATAAGCGGCCCTTCGATTTCTGAACCAACGCCTCTTTGATTTCTGAGCAAGCGCCTCTTCCTTTTTATAGAGGTATTGATCACCTGTAACATGCATACTTTGAAGGTTGCTCATTCCTGAAAATCATCTCCGGCCTTTTGAGTTTTAACTCCATCCACCCATCTCTTTTAACACCTTTGAAAAATGGCTAACCCATCGAACCTTAGCTTAGAATTGAGTCTCAGCAGTGATCCGGTTGCGCCGCTTCAAGGTAATGTATGGTGTCCTTCTTTCTTATCCTCTAACGGTCCTCTTACAGGTGAAGACTCCGTGATGCAGGACGCCACAACAGCTACAATAGTAGCTAGGAACCTCCTCACTCCAAAAGATAGTAGGCTGCTGTCAGGACGGTCCGATGAGTTGGCCGTTCAAGAGTCCCTCGCTCTTAGCGTTCAGTGTGCGGGCTCTGTGTCCAACATGGGCCAACGCCTGCTTGCTCGGTCCCGTCAGGTGGAATCATTGATGGCAGAGGTGGAAGATCTTAAGCAGGAGATTAAACAGCTTAAGTACGAGAATAGAAGTTTGCATGTGCTTGCAAATAACTATTCGTCGGGCATGAAGAGGAAGCTTGATGAGCTTGGTGATCGTCAACGGTTTGCAGCTTTCTTCCAGAGGCACCTCTTTCCTGGGTCATCCAGCGTTCCGCCAAGTATTGAGGCCTCGAATGCTTTATCTCCGATGCCTCTTGCTCCGATGCCTTCTGCTCCGATGCCTCCTGCTCTGAGAGTGTTGCCACGTAGTGGGGCTTCACGTACACATCCTTTGTGAAAGCTTCAACTTGTTTTTTTTTTTTTTTTTTTTTTTTTTTTGTACATATTTGTAATTTCTCGAAAATCAATGAACATGCTTTGTTTTATTTAGTGTATTATGCTAAATACAGATAAAACATATACATCACCATCCATAATCAAATTTTTATTCTTTTCTTTGCTTTCGGTGGCGCTGATCCACCATTCATTTATATATATATTTCAGATGGTGCCAGAAGCACCACCATCGTTTTTTTCCTTTCTTTTTATTATATGTATATATATATATATATATTATTTTTTTTTCACATGATTCCAGAAACATCATGATTGCTATTTTTTTTATTATTCTTTTGAAAGATGCTTCCCAGCATCATCATTACCATTTTTTTTTATTATTATTATTTTTTTTCTTTATATGGCCATCTGCAAGGCTGAGTTCGTGGGTGAAAACCCAGGCGAGTCCGAGAGAAGACGGAGGAGATCTTTGGGTGTGAGTTGACAAACTTTGATTTTGTCAATCACATTCAAAGGCAGCAGCAGAGGCAGGCAGACGGATGAGATCTTTGGGTGTGAGTTGACAAACTTTGATTTTGTTGATCACATTCAAAGGCAGCAGTCATGGCGGAGGTGCAGAAGCAGCCAGATCTTGAGGCAAAGTGTAAGGCGTCGAGCTTCACGACCGGCTAGTCGTTTGACGGCGGTCACTGAAGTTTCTTTGCCGATCTTGATCATGGTGGTCAGGGTGACGAGCTCGAGGTAGTGCAAGGCGTCAAGCCTGAAGTGGAGGAATTGCTGCGGCTATGGTGAGATTTCCGTTTTTTTTTTTTTTTTTTTTTTTTTTTTTGTAGTGCTGCAAATGTCTCAATCGGTGGAGATGAAGAAGGAACACTCCGCGGGAGGAGTTGACATCGGCAAAGACGGCAAGGATGGTTGCTGCTGCAATTGGTGGAGGCGTTGACGGGCAGCGAACAAGCTACTGTTGGAGTTTGAGCTCGTGGATGCTGCTGGCAGATCTATAGTTGCTAGCTTTCAACGAATTGCCGTACTGGAGAAACTTGTCGATGTCAACAGCAGAGACGAAGAAGACGGAGTTGTTGAAGTAAAGGATCAACGAGCAGGGGAATGAGTGCTTGGAGAGAAATCTTGACGGCAAGAAAGAGAAAGTTCAATCGAAGATGAAGCCCATTTTGATCATGGTGGAGACTTCCCTCGATTTCAGCGTGTCCTTGGAAGTCGTTGGAGATCCGAAAGCTCGATATCAGATTCAATTATCTCATTCTTCGACATGGACTTGATCAAATCTGATTTTCAGATTAGCGGAAGAGGCTGCTCTGTCGTATTCCTCCTGCGCCACCGGGTCAAGCTCCGCCATTTCGGACACCAATCTCACCATGCACACCTGAACCTTCATTGGTGAATCGCCCAAAGCCGAAACAACAACGTTAATTCCCAACAAATCAATTATAATTCGGACCCTTTCTTGATCAGTGGCGATGTGAAACAGAGCATTAGCAGCCGCCGAGTCCGAGAAGCCCAGCCGCTCCGACGAACAAGCCCTCGTTGGTGTGGCCACAGCCGATGGCAATCTCCTTCGCCGAAGCCCCACCTATGCTGATTGTCTCCGTCACAAAGTCGCCGACAGTGTTCGAGCCGTCACCGTACGCCACCTCGTAGAGACACGTGCCGTTCCGACACTCAAACACATCGAGGGATTTGCATTGTTGGGATTCGCACGAGAGCGGCGAGAAGGAAGTCGAGGAAGGAAGGGCTGCAGTGTGCGTTGAAGGAAAGTCCAAGAGAAGTAGAGAGAGAACTGTGGTCTCCAAATGTCACCACTTTGCTACTGCCTTTCCGTTGTTATCGGCCGAGACGAGGGTGCACGTTGTGGTCTCTGGGCTCACGGATGGCAGTCTCGCTGGGCAGAGAGAAACAAGGAGCAGCCGTCTGGACCTTGGGGAGTCGACAGCGGCAGGGAGCGGAGAGCGTCTCTCTTTCTTCTCCGCGTTTTCTGCTCTTTCACCCCAATAACAACTATCACCGTAGTATGCGTCTATTTCCCACCTTTCAAGCTCATCCGTTGCGGTAGAGATAGCAAGGATGAAATCGAAAAGAATTTCTCAAGACACCCAACTCCCCGGGTCTCGCAAGTTTGATCCGTGATCCTCCCATAACAGATCTTGTTCCACCACCTCCAAATACTTGTGGAATGCCTTCTGAAGGTTCTCGTCCAAATCATGGAAATCAGGCCCCTCGTAGGCAATTTGATCCTCGGAATCTTCGGGAGTATCTTCAATTTTAAAAGGGAAGGAAGATGGAATCTCCTCAACCTTGTCGAGATCCTCGGTCTCCTCGGCGCGCTTGATCTCCGAAACTTTCTCAGCATATTGCTGGCCCGTCAGTGGCAGTATCGTTGTCACTTGAATGAATTTCTCAAATGGACCTGTAACGATGTCCCTGAAGAACTCAACGGACTCCGTCAACTCCTCGGCCGTCTTACCCTTCCACTTAACGGCGAGCTGAGGCACGGCGTTATCCTCCAAATACACTCCGATTGCCGTGATCTTCACGAAGTTCCCCTGAATCTCCAGCCCCCTCACCCCTGCGTCGCCGAGGAAGAGAGTGTTGGAGGAGCCCGGAGGTTTGACAGACGGTGGAAACGCGGTCGTCTCGATCTGGAGTCCGGCGAGCGATGGCGTTGGAGCCATTTGACAATTTTGTTGTTATTGTGGAGAGAGAGTGTGTGAGAGAGATACGTTTAAGGAGATGATGGAGCGGATGATGGAGCACACGCAGATTGGGCTTTGAGAGCCGGGCCCGGGCCTGGATTTGTATATATATATTGTATATATTTCCTTCTTTTTTTTTTCTTTTTTTTTTTTCCTTTTTTTTTTAACACATAACAACGTATGTACTTTTTTTTTTCGCAGAGAATATATATATATATATATATACTCTAATACATAGTAACATATGTATATATTTATTTTTTTTGATAGAGAATATATATATATATATATATATATATTTTCTAATACATAGTAACATATGTATATCTTTTTTCTTTTGAAACCAACAACATGTAATTTTTTGTACAAAGAACGTAATAATATTGACTTTCATTAATGAAACATTTATTTATTTATTTTGATGTGACTGTACTTGAAGTTTTGAAGTTTCAAGTTGCCTACGTACTCTTTCAAAGAAGAGATCAAGTCATAACGTAGTTCAAATGAGTGATGATTTTGATGATGATTTTGATGATGATTTTGCCGTACACAGTTTATGCTCTTGCGGGCCAGGAGCGTCTTGGTGCCGTTTGCATTTTTAGCTCGTGCAGGCAAAGAGCGTTTGTTGTCGCCTTTTATGCTCGTGCGGACAAGGAGCTTTGGTTGTCGCCTTTTAGGCTCGTGCGGGCAAGGAGCTTTTTGAATTTGTCAAACGATCTTAGAGACGCATTCCTTGCAATCTTTATAGCAAGAAGTCTTGACTGAGTGATTGAAGAAGTCTTTGGGGAAGAAATCGCGCATCGTGATGGCAACGGACGATCTTTGTGTCATAACTTCATCATCCTCAACACTTTCATGTAGCTTTGAAGGTTGACGGTAGCTGCTTTGCCCCCTTTCCGATTGGTGAACTTGTGGAAGAGACCTATGTTTCTTGTGCATTTTCTTTGGAGTGACATAAGTCCATCCTTCAACTTCACTTGACTTGACTGACATGGTTTTGGAGCATGCCCCCAGCGGTTGAGGTGAAGATTTTGAGTTCAAAGAGCCAGAAGTGACGGTGGTATAGTTTGACTTCACCACATCATTAAGATCTAGCTCGATGATCCCTTTCTGAGCCAACTTCATGATGAGATCTTTTAGCACAAAGCACTTTTCCGTCGGATGACTAATGAAGCGGTGGAATTTGCAGTACCTTGGACTGTCAGTACGGTTCATCTCTTCTGGCCGTTTGCACTCAGGTAGGTTGATCACCTTTTTGTCAAGCAAGTCTTTCAACATGGCAACCACATCAGAGTCGGGGAATGGATAAGTCTTCTCCTCAAGCTCCTTCAAAGTGCGTCTACGTATCTCTTGATCACGAAAAGCTTCGGTTTGAATCGCCTTGCTTCGTGTAGGGATTTTGACTGGAGTTGTGTTGACCGTCATTGCTTCCTTGGTGGGTTTCCACGTAGCCTTATCCACCTTTGGCCCCAAAACTTTGTCATTCTTGTAGTCGGCGATCTGTTCTTTCTTCCCATGACGGGTGATGCTTAACTCCATATCATGGGCGCGGGTGGCTAACTCCTCGAATGTTCGTGGTTTGATGCCTTGAAGGATGTAGTGTAGTCCCCACTGCATGCCTTGAACGCACATCTCAATGGCAGAGGTTTCAGAAAGCCGATCTTTGCAATCCAGACTTAAAGAACGCCATCTATTTATGTAGTCGACGACAGGTTCATCTTTTCATTGTTTCGTGCTGGTCAGCTCTAGCATGCTTACAGTACGACGAGTGCTGTAGAAACGGTTGAGGAATTCCCTTTCTAGCTGGTCCCAACTGTTGATAGACTCAGGTTCGAGGTCAGTGTACCAGTCAAAATCGTTACTTTTCAGCGAACGCACGAACTGTTTGACGAGGTAGTCTCCCTCTGTCCCAGCATTGTTGCAAGTTTCAATGAAATGGGCGACATGTTGCTTCGGGTTGCCTTTTCCATCGAACTGCATGAATTTTGGGGGCTGATAACCCCTTGGCATCTTCAAAGCATCAATCCTCTTGGAGTAAGGCTTTGAGTACAGTATGGAGTCATGCGAGCTTCCTTCGTAATGTGTCTTGATAGTGCTTGCGATCATCTCCTGTAGCTGCTGGATAGAGAGAGATCCCATGGATGCCGTTGCTTGGTCTAGCTTCGGCTTCTCTTCATCTTCCTCCTCTGGTGGCTCCTCTTCTTCTTTCTTTAATGGGCCAACATTTGGGTCGACTTTCACGTCGAGCTGCGCATCTAGTTGGTTGACGAGTGCGGCAATCTGCAAGTCCTTCTCTTCCACAGTCCGTGTGAGCTTTGCAATTGCTTCATTCATCTGAGCTAGTTGCTCCTCGATTGAAGTTGCTCCAGTGGTCATGACTTGCATGGTTGTACTGCCGCTCGAATCAGCGTCGGACAGTAGGGACTCTGCGTATTTCCTTGGGCTCTCCCCTTTTGACGCCCTTAGCGAGGCTAGGGTGATCACAGGCTCGTACCTCAGGTGCTCTTGTTCCTTTGACAGAGTTAATGCAGGGGCGGAAGCCGCGGCAAAAAGATCTCTTGCCTTACTTCGGGTTATGATGCCCGAAATATCACCACTTGCGGCGATGATGTTCTTGTTCTTTGCTTTGATTGCAAGAACAGCTTGATCCTTTCTTGATGCCATTTGCGTTTTTTGATGATTTGAGGATAGAGATGAGAGGTAGAGATTGTCCCACCGGGCGTGCCAAATTTGTAAACACGAGAAATTCCTGAAACAAGCGACAAGAATACGTGTACAAAATATATATTTTGTATTAATGATTTTGGGGTTACAATCTCTTTGTAATTTGGTCCTCTGATTCTATCTTCGAAGGGTGTACGTTTGTGGATGAATTGTTGATCCAAAGGGCCGTCGGGGCTTGATATAAGGATGAACAGTTGATGAATGATGAACACTTTCTTCAAGGGGCCGTCGGGGCTTGATCTTGAGTTGGTGGGAGTTCTTCAAGGGCCGTTGGGCTTGATCTTGAAGGTTGGTGGATGAGCGGATCTTCAAGGGTTTTTGGGCTTGATCTTGAAGGTTGGTTGGATGTGTGGATTTGTTGAGGTTGTTGATCCAAAGTGGCCGTTGGGGCTTGATCTTAGGATGAACGGATGATGAACGATGAACACTTTCCTCAAGGGCCGTCGGGGCTTGATCTTGAGTTGGTGGAAGTTCTTCAAGGGCCGTCGGGGCTTGATCTTGAAGGTGGATGATGAACGATGAACACTTTCTTCAAGGGGCCGTCGGGGCTTGATCTTGAGTTGGTGGAAGTTCTTCAAGGGCGTTGGGGCTTGATCTTGAAGGTTGATGGATGATGAACGATGAACGAAAAGTGCTTTCTTGATTCTTCGGGATTTGCTTGAGAGCTTTAGAGTTTCAAGGCTTCTTTCTTTCTTCCTTCCTTCCTCCAAAATGAATGTCTTGGCCTCCTATTTATAGAATTCCAAAACTTGATTTTTGGATTTAAATAATCAGATGAAATAAATCATTTCTGCCAGGTATTGACACGTGTCCTATTTGATGACTTTTCCAATTTATTTCGATTTTTCGTTGAGTCACACGCTACATGTAAAATTTATGTGATATGTGAGCGTTGAAATTTTAATTTTTGGTCAACATTTATTTCACCGAAATTTTGATGTCTACATGGGGTTTTCCCTTTCTGAAAATCTCATATGTAATATCATGGTTCTGCAATACAAGATCTGTTGCGTGCAAAATATAGCATGTAGTGATGATTAATTAATCGAATAGCACATGAAGGATCCAAATTTTACAAAGAATTATGTTAGAGAGGAGAAAACTTGTGTGGAGCTTGGCTTACCACTGAACTTTGCTAAGTAGTACTACAATCCATTAAAAAATCGCCACGTGACAAGTCTTAAATGTAATTTTTTTTCCCATTCTTTTATATTTAGGATTCTCATAATTATATTTCTCACTAATTAATATACATCAATCTAATGGATATTTTTTTTGTTTTCTTTCTTTTTAAAAAAAATGGGACAATTGGTGGCAAGATATGGTTATCCATTCCAAATATTCCCTCCAATTTATGTTGCAGGACTCTTTCACTTTCTTCTCTCTCCCACTTCTTTGTCTCTCTGACTTTTTTCTCTCACTGTTCTTTAGAAAAAATTTTGTACCCTAAACAAAATCACTTTCTCCAACTTTTGTCATGGAAATCAATCAATAATCTTTAAGTTTTTTCGTTATTTATACAATACGTGATTTGATCATGTGAACTTGACATAAATAACCCATATATATAGGTGTATTAGGGTTAGCCTAATTTTTTATTTGTTTTCGTTAACATGTTAATCTAATATTTGGGCTCAAATGTTAATCAATGTTATGGTTAATATGTTGATACGAATTACCCACATATTTATACAATAGTTTTTTCCGTTTTTACTATGAGTATTTTATTAATGTGGTAGTCTTTTTATTTTTTTATTTTTTATTTATTTCAATTGGTAGGTTGCTGTTGAGACAATGGAGTTTTAAGAAGATGTAAAAATTAGAATGGTGGTGAATTCTGACATTGAAATCTTTCAAGTACACAATGCTTATACTATGAGGAAAGGGTTTAGTCTTCATAAAGAGCATATTCAAAGAGATAAATCAAATAATATTACACAATGAGATTGTTTGGGAAGTTAAAGAAGGCAAGCATGCCCCGCAACATAAACTGGAGGGAATTTGGGAAAAAGAGGGGGGGGGGTGTGGGTACGAACAAAATATAAGCCATTAAATTGATGCATATTAATTAGTGAAAAAAATAATTATGAGAATTTTAAATATAAAAGAATGAGAAAAAAAATTATATTTAAGACTTGTCACGTGGTGATTTTTGAGTGGATTGTAGTGCCACTTAGCAAAGTCCAGTTGCATGCCAAGCCCCACACAAGTTTTTCTCGTCAGAGAGAGTTGTGTACATTAAACGTTGCGGTATATTATTCTCGTAGTTGATCATCATGGTGGGATAAGAATATTCTAAACCCTCATCATGTTGGCTACTTTGATTAGGTTAGCAAGTATTAAGTATACATAACATGATAATTATT